TAATAATAATAATATACCAGTTTTTCTCCATTCAACAGAGCCAGTAAAAGACCAAGGGTCAGGAAAGTCCGTGACGACCAGCAAAGACCCACCAGAATCACAGCGGACATCCCCCAGTCGTGATGCCTCACCGACACACTCGCACGAGGAGGATAGTCTGCGCAAGCCTGGACATCGCACATCTGGTGTGTAGAACATGGATACAGTCATCAATATTAAAAATAATAGTGTTTGTATAGCGCATGTCCTCACTCTAAAGCAAGCTCTATGCACTTTACACTATATTATTACCCCAGCAGACCATAGAACACTAAGAAACATTCTCAGCTTCCCGGGGAGCATACAGTGCAAGCAGCAGGTTAAGCGCTCAAACACAAACAAACTGACAAGATCTTTTACTGTCAATAATAGCTGGGTACCCATTTCCACCTGGGTGAAGTGGGGGAAAATACGTGTAAAGTGCCTTTCCCAAGGACACAACGTCGCCCCGCGGCTCGAACCCCCGATCCCGCAACCTCACGATCACGAGTCCGTTAGCCTAACCACTAGGCCACTGACGCCATTGCCTTTCTCACCTTGGACTAGGGTATAGATCACCGACAAACGTTATCCAGTTTACCCTCATTTGGGCTAGCTTCTCGTAGTTCTATGTTGTTTTTTCACCTTGTTGTACTTCATTCTCTGTGAAACCTCTCTAGGTTCATCGTGGTCTTCTACTTGATGTCTCTCGAATGTTGTGCCGGAAACTAAAAAGAAATAATGCTAATACTAGATCTAGCTATTGTAATAGCACAAATTCTCTACCAACAGCATAGTCTATGCCGGGCTTCACAATTATTTATTGTTACCTATGCAGACCTGGTAGCATTCTGAAACAATCTCTGCTGGCTGGGAGACAGTTGTATTATCTTTGAAATTGCGAAAGTGTATAGATTTAACGCTCCTTGCAAAACTGAAAAGTCATCTAAAAAATGGATGTTATCTTAAAAGTTTACGTTTAGTGCTGAACTCATCTTTTTTCTTTTTCTGCGAATCTATCTCTTTTTTTTTCTAGGAAACTCTGTTCCTTGTTTCTTATACATTTCCTTCTTTTTTCCAAGATCTCTTAACTAAGTCTGTGACCTTCCCTTTGGAAGTTCTTCACTTCGTTTTAAGGAATGTTGTTCTCCATTTATTATGGGTTTTTTTTTTCAATTTTTAAGAAAACATTATTTTTTCTTTACATACTTTAAAATTATCTATTCTTTGAAATTCCATTCCTAGTTACTGTGAACTTTCTTCTTTTTACCTTTTCGATTCCCTGTAGTCAGATGCCTATTTTTGACACTAAGGATACCTGACCAAGCAGGAAATTCATTTAAGTGAGCCCGATAAAGTAATAATAATCAAATTGCTACTAGATCTAAATGAAACTTATCTATAGCTTATAGCCATGTACTAAACTGGTCTTTTCAGGTATAGCGAAACTTATCTATCTTACATTAACTTTTTGTTTTATTTATGTGTTTAAATGTCTCTGAACACGGATTCTCTTTTCTCTTATTTAATGTTTCTATGATTTTTTCTTTTATTCAGAGAGCACGCCGTTCATCCCAGACGCCAGTTTCCTCCAGTCCCTCCACGCCACAACCAACAGCCCACCAAAACACCTGGACATTTTCCGGGGATTCCCGGCACCAGACGCCACAACGCTTGCAAACTTAGGCTTCTCAAAGCCGCACTTACAAGGTCAAGGACTACCCTTCTCCCTTCCGCTTCCGGCGGCCTCTCACCTCTCGACCTTGACCGCAGCTCCGACGTCATCACCGTCTGCAGTGACGGCCTCCTCTTCTCTCCTTCCTTGCCCGCTACCAGCAGGATCGTCTCTCCCACTCGCAGCAGCCGCGTCGTCTCTGCCTCTTGCTGCGTGGTCGTCCTATTATTCTTCTGCCTCGCACTTCCACGACTTCCTAATGCGACACCCCGGTCTGAGAACCTCCAATACGGACCCACAGCTCCGACTGAGCTCTCCCATGGCGGGAGGAGGGATGGGGAAAAGCACCATGCTCAACTCCAGTATCGAGAACTTGAGGCTCAGAGCGAGACAGCACGCTGCCTGCCTTGGACTCTTCGACACAGTGACCCGGACGTGACTTCCAGGAAGTTCAGTTGTTTATTAAAAACCTGGATGTGGAAAAAATCAAATTGGAACATTTGAACTATTAGGAATTTAATTACTAATGATGTTTATGTGACACAAACGGAACACACATTATGCAGGAAACTGACACATGTGCTTTAGAAAAGAGGAAAAAAAAACCTGGTGATTGGAGAGTGCCATTGATAAATTTGCAATTTGGCTTAAACAGCACATAGGCATCTTTGGTTGGTGCTTCTATAAAAAAACTATGAATGCTCTGTTAGATCCATCTTTTCACCTCTCTCAAACCGTTGTTTCTAATTCATATCAGTTTCGTTTGCAATTTCTTAGCACCAAGCAGTAAATGATTTTGTCCGCGTTAACGCGCTACCTTTTACTCGAAATTAATAGCACGCTGTTAGCTTACTTAACCAGGGAGCTGATGGCTCTAGTTCGAATCCGTAAGGCGATGTTCTAAACTTGGGCTATTTGGGGAGTTTTTACGGCTCTCCGACCATTTATCCGAGTTCTATCGGGGATGGACATTAAACTCCGGAGACTATTATTATTATTATTATTATTATTATTATTATTATTATTATTATTATTATTATTATTATTTTATTATTATTATTATTATTATCATTATTATTATTATTATTATTATTATTGTTATTAATAATAATAATAATTGTGATTACTATCTAAATTCTAGTCCCAAAAATTGTAAGGCCCTTGGGCGTTTGGGGGGGGGGGGGGGGCAAACAAACGTAACTTCTAAATTGAACATGCTGTAAATATGATTACCTTATAAAGAGATTGATTTGCTTACCAGCGTCTGTGGTGTAGCGGTCAGGCGTTTCTACGTTGCACACAGAAAACCTGTGTTCGATTTCCATGTGGTGACAAAGTTATGTCGAGTTTCTCCATTTTCTACTGGGATGTTGTATCTCTCTCAGCCCGGTCTGGCCCTGACGGAGTACATGATCGAAGCCCGCTTCCTAAATTATCTAAATTGTGTTTAATTTGGGGATATGTGAATTGGAATATAATCTAAGCTAAAATTGAAGATCGGTTCTGGAGCCGCCGGGAGCGGCTTAGCGTACTGACGGCACTTTAGCCGCGCCGCTCCCCACGGCTCGGCGTAGCGAATGGGCTAAAACACCTACTTTAAAGAACGATAGATAAATAAAATAAGTTGTTTACTTAGTGACTTGACAAAGGATGGGGAAGTGAGATTCCTCTGTGTATATACATTTGTATTTTATGATGTTTTTATATAATTTGATTCAATGTTTTGACCTAAGGGGTAATTTCTTTAAAGAAAAATGATACAATGTGATACAAAGACATTCTGAAATAAACTGAATGCAATTTTAATGAGTAAAGTTGTGGTTACTTGTATCTTGTGTGTCCATAGTTGTGAAAGAGGTACGCAGTGTTTTATTAGGCATGGCAGTCAATGTGAGAGCTTCTGCATATGAAGGGGTCACGTGAAAAACAGGATAAGTCACATTAATCCAGAATTGTGTTCTTTAATCCTACCTATTATCCTACCTAATCATAGCCTATTAACATTTTTTTAAACGATGGACTATGCTTGTCCTAGCTTGATTTGCTGTTGTAAAGATACAGTTTGTGAATGACTTAGTTTGTTTTTCACCTGACTGATTTCGTAAAGATTATTATTCTGCGGATAGTTTTTTTTTTCTAAGTAAAGACTTATCCTGATTTTCATTTGACCCCTTCACATGTTTCTGTTTACATTCCGTTCGATTCTTATGTATGTAGTCGCGTACGTGTAGCGTGTTCATGCGGATAAGCCTGTATGAAAAAGCTTGGACATGCATGGACGTTAACAAGAGTGTGCATGGGCGTCAGTGCTTTGCACCTGTACTAAATTCAGCATGCCTCTAACTTGTCTTTCTTTCTTTCATCTTTCTTTTTTCCTTCCTCCCTCTTTGTCTTATTTCTTCTTTTATAGATGTGTTGCTTTTTTAAAGACCGATTTATTGGTATTATGGGGTTGTATTTTTTAAACCTTGGCGACATTAGTTTCTATTGACACTAGGATCTTGATCTGGTTGGTGTAAAATTAGTCAAAATAATCATAGAAGGTGCTGCATCACCAAAAGGCAGCAACAGCAGCAACAGCAGCAACAGCTGCAACAGCAACAACAACAACAGCAATATCACCAACAACAATTGATGCTAATTAGAACTAAAAGACCAGTTGAGAAAGTTGAAAATTTGTCTGAGCCTTCGGTTCGGACTGGCAGTGCAAGTCTGTCAGCATCAGTTGGAAGACTTTTTTTTCGAAGCACATTTGTAATGTTCTCTTTCTGAAAAAAATATTATAACAATAAATGTATCTAATTCAAGAGTCCTGTCTAGGGCATGGTTAGCATAAATCAAGCTACTTGAAAATTCTACGAGAAAACATAGATTTTTAGTGCCTTTATTCGAATGACAGTTATATCTCTGCCGATCTCCAGACGTTGATTTAGTGGGATTTTTGAATGACGATGACGCATTGAAACTTCGAACGAAAATGAAAACATATATTATGAGAGGCATAGTGGAGAAATTAGGCGCTCGTCATTATAATGAATTTTAAAAAGAATCAGCATTTTATGGCCTTAGCGTAATTTTTTTTTTGGGGGGGGAGGGGATTTTCTTTTTCTGGTTCAAAGCCTCCTATGTCCGTTCAAAACCACATTTAAGTGTAGATTTTACTGAAAAAATGTTGATCAAAAGCACACAAAATCTAAATATGCAATTTCCAAGTGCTCTCAAGATTTGGAAATCACCAAACGTTAGCGGCCATTTTCTCGCTAAATCAAAATTTTACCTCTGAAACTGAGCAACCACCATCTCCTTCCATTGCAAATATCTCGACTTTTACTGATGATGGATGGGTAATGTTTTCATGAAAAGCAAGACAAATGGACTTAATTTAAGATGATACCAAGAACTCCACATGCATCAAAACTGACGAGTGCCTGATACCACCACGTCGTGACACATATTGAGATTGGTCATTTAAACTCGGATCACTCAAAATGTATACACATGAGCCCGTTCTGTCGATCTCTTTGCAAGGAATCCAACGTTATGTTGAACCTGTGTGTTTTTAGGGATTCACTGCCACTTGCAGGTTCTGTTTCTTTATTGCTATGAGGTTACACGAAGAGATTCTAAACTCCTTGCTTTAATGCCATATTGCTGTACAGAATGAGACAGACGCTCTCTTGTGATTTGCTCATTCCTGTCCTATCAAATATCTTACGTCCTTAGCTCTCCTCCTTCATTTATTATTTTGTATGTTACTCTCTAGAATCTAGTAACATTTCTCATTTTGAGCACTAATATATAACCCTTTTGTTTTGCAAGTGCCATAAAAACTCTTACCAAAAAAACATACAAACACAACTGGCCTCTGTGGAGTAGTGATTAGAAGTTTGATTCCCATGTGGGGAGAATTTTCATCGACATTTTATTATATCTCGGTCTCTCTACTGGGATTTTTTCCCCTCTCAGCCCAGGTTGGCCTTGACAGGTGGGGTCGAAGCTAGTGTTCTAAATGATCTAAATCGTGTCTGGTATGGTGGGAGGGGGGAGGAGGGGGGGGGGATTGGCGCATAGTAAAAATGATAATTAAACAAAAAATGAAACACAAACAGACTATAAGTAATAAAAAGCATGTCCAACTTATGCATCTCAACATAATAAATACATTATTTAAGTACCAAGTACTGAGTATGCCTCAAACTGACAAACGCATCTTCCATTACTTCTATGAAAAGGTACCGCTTCATTTGAAGGTCTACCACAGTGCTCTTGGTTTAGTTGACGGTCTACCCCCTGACCTGTCGGATAACTGGTTTGGTAGAAGGTCTACCGCGATATTTACCCAGGACTGTTCTTGGCTACGTTATCAAAACGTTTTGGTATTTGCTTTATGGTGTTGTTGTGTGTGTGCTTGGGGTGGGGGGGGGGAGGCTGGTGGCTTCCCTAATTTTTGGAAAATAGTCCCCTATGGTCCCTTTTTCACTTGTTGCGATGTGCTCGTCAATCATCATCTTCACCTCCGAAAGATTAAGCTTGTTGATTTAAATGATACTCCAAAATAAAGCAATCCACTCAACAACACATCGCACTTGTGTAGCGCTACGTACTTTGCTATAAATGTCCCCAGCTCTGTTGTTTATTGTAGCCACGAGGAGCTAGACCGCACAAACCACGCAGTACGTTACCTCAGAATTTCAAAATTCTGTTTGACACTTTTGGTCGTTTTGAGCTTTACTTTATGAGCATTAGATCAGATACCAATAATGTTCTCTCTGCTCTAATAAAATCGTAAGATTATTCGGAGTCGTTATGAAGACATTTAAAAAATTGCATTCGAAAAAGTTTGACTTATTGTAAAACTCTAAACCTTTAACGTTAAATTTAACAAAACTCTAGGTACTGAGCAGATAGGACTGTACTTGTAGAGTGGCGAATATTCTTTAGAGTGACAGGCTCATGTGAATAGATCGGAGGAAAGCGAAAGCTACAAGGGTAGGTGAGAAATAGAGAGTTGAACAACTAGGGAGAGATGTTGAGTGGTTGATGATTAGCCAAGCGCAAACTTTCCCTTTGACACTTGGTGATCAATGTAACGTGATAGTTCTCTCTGCTTCCTGATTAGCTCACTATTTGCGGAACCTGACATTCATAATAAGTTTCCACTCTACCCCCCCCCCAACAATCCTCACCCCCAGTCGTTCCCTGCCCCACCTCCTACTCCCCCGCCCCCCTTTCGACCCCATCAGCCCTGCGCTGGAAGATACATTTCTCAGCCTCAACGGCTCACCCACTCTAGCTTCCCACTGACTTGTCTTTGCTAGTGACAGTTTGGCAATCTACGGGCGGAGAGCTACAGAGAAGAATATGTCTTTTGCTGTTGTTAACATAAATGCCATAAGCATCGTCTTTTTTATACTCTTATATAATAAAAGGAACATTATTAATGTGTGTTTATCTGTCTCTGGTCTGCAGACAAATTTAGAAATAAAAACTTTTTTATCCGCACACCATACGTAAAACTAGAAACACGCCCCTTACACCTTCCTTGATTCCAAACGAATTGACCATGTCTGTCTTCTTTGAATATCTAGAAAGAAGTCAAGATCTGAAGGTAGGGGAAACGCACTTGAGTCTACTGATTTTGTATCTGCCACCCTGTCAAAGCTGTAATATGGAGACTACTATGAAGATCGTCTGTCCATAAAAAAGGCCTACAGGTTGCACATCTTTACTTACATTGTATATTTACATACTTATTTTAGTTGTGTGAACGTGTTATATTAAGTCCATTGATAAATGTCTGACATGTTGCAGAACAAGAAACGAGACACGAGGAGATGAAACAGAAGAGATACAAACACACGAAAGATCCACACAAAAAGAAACAGGACAAAATATGACAACACGACTTCAGGTGCATGGAGATGATGCAAAATGTATCACATCAAAGCTTGACAATAGAAAATGGCACTGACACAGAAT